GATGATAGAATCAACACAACGTTTTAAACTAATTTTTTTTTTCTTGTAACGGAATTTTAAAAAATAAAATAAAATAGAAACTTATGATTCGGGGACCATAACCGCATTTAATATCGATAAATTTTACACTTTTCATTTCGAGCATCATAAAATACAAAATAATACAAAAATAGTATTGCCACGATATAAATTCATGCTTATACCCGATGTAAGACCCAATACTGTTTAATCATATTTGATTACTTTTAAACGAGTTCATTAAATTAATAGTCTGATCCGCATGTCAAGACCTACATTAAGTTCGCAGTTTGAAAAAAAATCGAATATACATAAAGTAATTAATTATAATTTTGGCATGCTATAAGATTGATAAATATATTTTTGTGCCATTCAATAATTTTGATGTTAAGAATATGGAACAATGATTAAGTAATAAAAGATTATCAAATAATATATATATATATATTGGAATTTAGTTATAAATAATTTGAGTTATAAAAAAATAATAATAATGGGTTGATAAGGTACATCTCATAATACAAAGAAATTAGTTTTGGCCACCAAACATATAATATATATATATATATATATATATATAACTTTGAGAAGATACCAATTTCTCTTCCAAAATCTTATTTTCTTTTTTAATTAAATTGGAATTTATTTGCAAGGTGGCTTGGGCCCCAATTTTATTTTTTTTTTAAAAAAAATAAGTAAATTATATGAATGTTCTTAAATTTTAGGTGTTATTACAATTAAATTTATTATATTTTTTAAAAAAAAATTAGAATCTACTCATTGTAAATAATTATAATTATATAAAAAATTCAGTACCTTATTATAATTTATTATTTAGAAATAACATGAAAACACACCCATAATTTCCCATGTTCCAACTTATAATTTTGTTTGCAAATGTCCAAATAAAACAGATTATGAAACCCAATTGATAACCCAAATCTTAATATTATTATTTGGGGGAATAATCATAATTTAATAATGTAATTATGATTAGATCTTACTTAATACTATTAATTAAAAATAAAATAAATTATTAAATTAATTCTCGATATTTAATATTTATTATAATTTAATTTCTAATATTTATTTATTTATTTTAAATGATCATTTTTATTTTACGATACGAAGAAAAAATTATTATATTTTAAAAAATATATAACAAATGTTTAAGGTGCAATTGGTTGAGGGAACATGAAGACAAGAAGCAAACTCAAATTGGCCTGCATTACTCCGGTGTCATCTCCCCTGGATACAGCCTGTTCTTCTCCAGCTCTACCATGTCAGTAGTTTTCTGTTTGTTTTCCTGGAATTATTCATTTTCCTGGATTCACCATTTAAAGCTGATTTACCTTCTCAAGATCAATTCAATATTCTCAGTAAGAAATTGAAATTGAATGTAGCGAAATTCCATAAGCTACATATCATTAGTTGGCACGATTCAATCGATAGTTCAAGTCACACGCTTAATCCGTGAAAAAACAAGACACCTCTTACGTTCTTGGATCGATAAATCATCTTTTAACTAATCTAACATTGGTTTGATTACTTGGATGATAAAACTCCAAGTGCATTAAATTAAGTTATTACAAAAATTGAAGAAAGTCAAACTAAGCTTTCCATAATTAGACCAAATGCCAAAGCTACTACTTCATGTTTAACTATAATTTCAGCACTTAAATATGGTTTATGACTAACTTTCGACTTGTGGGTCAGTCTCAAAATTGGATTTTAGCATACCGTTCTCTGGTTTTCCTTTTCAGCTTCTATTGTTCTTTTGTTATGTTTATCTCATACTGTATTAACTATGAATTAGTCTACTGAGCCGATTGGTTAATTGCATAATATGCTGATTCAAAATGGATTAAAGCAAAATTTTATTGCATGGTGCATAATATACTGATTCGGGAAACAGAAAGTATGAACTTATGATAATTGTTTTACAGAGTTAAAACCGTTCAAAGAGCAAGAATAATAGAAAATATTACACAGCAGAAGATCAACGAAATAGTTCAATCGAAAATATAAAAAGAAGTTTAACTAATAGAATGATTAATTTTCATTTGGGTATTAATATAAAATTTTTTTGGAAACATGTATAGAAAAGAAGAAGAATGCATGGATATTGGGTGAAATTTTCTTAGGGTATAGATCACGCAGTGAAACAGAGCTACCGTTCATGAGAGCTCCCATTTTTAAAGCAGAGGAAACAACTGAAACTACCCTCAAGTTGACTGTCAAATTGAATAAACAAATCTCTGGTGATGGCCACAGACTTCCCCTTTGACTTGTAACTGTCTGATCCCCACACACAGCTCACTTCAAATGAAAACAACTGTTAATAAAAATGGCCGAAACCCCTCAATTCCCTTTCATCACCTTCAACACTTCCCACCAGCAAAGAACACCTCGGGAGACCACCAACACTCTTGAAACTAGAAACCCATCAGAAAAGATTGCAGATGCCAATACAGAGATGTCTTTTCTTCAAACCCATTTCAGTAATTCTCCTTGTTTTTCCATTACTCTCAATCACCGCATCTGGGTATGGTTCGCCAGGGACGATTGCCGCGTCTTTTGGCGAGAATGGCTTCTTCTGCGCCATAGATGCGGGTGGGAAGCAAGAGATCATATGCTGGGACAAGGACAATAAATCCACTGTCTCTTCAACGGCATTTTCCAGTTCTCTTCCAGCCATGGCTTCTCTCTCTGGCGGTGAGGGGTTTCTCTGCGGCATTACGTCGAACAACTCTCGGATTTTCTGTTGGGACTTGGTTAATTCGGGTGAGAATCTTGTCCCCGGAGCTTTTAGATTCAGTTCTTACTTGCAAGTAGCTGCTGGTGGGAATCATGTTTGTGCTATAAGAGGATCTTACTATTCTGGTACTGACTTTGGGTACATTGATTGCTGGGAATATCATCAAACAATTGGTACTCATAATTTTACTTTAGGGACTGTGAGTAATTCTTCATTTCATGATCCTTTTATTGATAGTCTTATGTTTAGGAGGATTGTCTCTGGAGATGGATTTAGTTGTGGTGTTGTTAAGGATGGAAAGGTTGTTTGCTGGGGACCCAACTCATCTAATTTGGGTCTTCCAACTACCTCTGGTGAGCTTCAGGTTTTAGCTTCAGGGAGGAACTCAATTTGTGGGATCTCTAGTGTCTCTAATAAAGTTGAATGCTGGGGAGACGCTGATGAATTTGGCACCATTCCGATTGGGACCAAGTTTGTTGGTTTATCAACTGGTGCACGCCATTTCTGTGGCATCCACAAGGATGATCATGAAGTAGAGTGTTGGGGAAGTATTGATTCATCTTCAGTTCCAAAAGGTTATGGATTCGTGTCAATTGCATCAGCCGAGTTTATTACTTGTGGCATGCGAGAAGTTGACTTGGTTCTTGATTGTTGGGGTGTTCATGGCCAGTCTCCTTCGGGTTATAGCCCTCCTCTGCAGTTATGTAGTCCAGGCATGTGTTCACCTGGGCAGTGTGGTCCAGGGAGATTTGCATTCAATGCTAGCATTCTTAACGAGCCGGAATTAACAAGCCTTTGTGTTCAAAAGGATCTGAAGATTTGCCTGCCTTGTGGAACTAATTGTTCCGAAGGATATTTCCCTTCAAGCATGTGTAGTGAGAATGCAGACAGAGTATGTACTGCTTGTTCACTTTGCCAAAACAGCTCTTGTTGGGATGTTTGTAGGCTTCCTTCATCCGGGATTCGACAGCAAGAGCAGCAACAGATGAGGAGATTGATAATAATTATTGCATCATCTGTGGTGGGCTCATTAACAATCTTAATAGGGTGTTGTCTTATTCCTTACAGTGTCGAAAGTAAAGAAGATGAGAGGGTCAGAACTCAATGCATTTTCTGTATAGGCAAGCCAGTGGTTGAAGCTGACCCTGATCCCAGTCCACAACCACCTATCTCTACAGTCACATCTATCGGTGATACCCAAGTTTTCCGTCTTTCAGAACTGAAAGACGCCACACATGGATTCAAGGAATTCAGTGAGCTTGGCCGAGGAAGCTTTGGTTTTGTTTACAAAGCTGTCCTGCCCGACGGTAGGCAACTGGCAGTCAAAAGAGCTAATGCTGCCACTATAATCCACACCAGTATCCGGGATTTCGAAGCTGAATTAGAAATTTTGTGCAAACTCAGACATGCCAATATTGTGAATTTGTTGGGTTATTGCGTTGAAATGGGGGAAAGATTGCTGATCTATGAGTACATGCCTCATGGAACACTTTATGATCATCTTCATGGTGAGCTCTCTCCTCTTGATTGGAACTTGAGGTTACGGATTTCTTTGCAGGCTGCAAGAGGATTGGAGTACCTCCATAACGAAGTAACTTCTCCCATTGTTCACTGTGATGTAAAAACATCAAATATCCTTTTAGACTCCGAGTGGGGCGCAAGGATTGCAGATTTTTGGTTTCTAAATGCTAACGAAAGGGATTTAAACGTGGGTATGGAGAACCATGTCTACAAATTCGGAATTGTTCTGCTAGAGATATTAAGTGGAAGAAAAACATACGATACCGACTGCATGCCTCCAGGGATCGTTGAGCGGGCATTGCCATTAATCAGACAGGGAAAGGCAGCTGCCATTATTGATCAAAACGTGGCTCTTCCAAGAAATGTGGAACCGCTGCTTAAACTTGCTGATTTAGCAGAGCTAACTTTGAGGGAAAATCCAGGCGAGCGTCCCAGCATCACGAATCTGGTAAATACTTTGGATATAATTTGTAATAGTGGATTGGCCTTCTGATCATATCAGGATCCATATAAATTTTTTTAAAGAAACACTTTTTTAGGCTTTTCAACTGTAATTTACCTCTGTTGCAAATACTATATATATATATATATATATATATATATGTTACTGCTTCATGCTTTTCACAATGATCATACCATGTTTCATTTACTAGTCCTTCTCATATGAGCTCTTTGATAGGCTTCTTATTTGATGGGCAAATGAAATTTATATACATAGCCTTCATGTGTATATATATAGATAGCTTATACTGAATTTGGATTTCCAGCTTATACACATGAAAAACATTTGGTATTATAATGTATATGCCCAGACTGCTGAGAAAAGCTCCTTTTTTTTTTTTAAGTTTTTAGAACATAATTCTGGTGGCATTGCCTGTTTACTTGGAACAACTGGTTCAGTACGTAGATATATACGTATACATACATGTATATATATAATGAATACATGTATATAAAAAATTGCGATTAAAATTTACAGAAATCAATAAAATTTTAAATATATTATTTTAATTTTATAAAAAAAAAAATTTATATAATTTAAATTTTTTATTAAATTTATTTGTTCTTAATTTTGAATTTATTTACCAAATTCATCAACCCAGTAAGAAGTTGGAGGTTCTGATCAAGCCCAGTATGATCCGTGCAGCTTTCCTCATTGGGTCGTTGACTTTTTCGAATTGGGCTATGGATCCGGTATTTAATGACCCGACCCGAGGCCCAACACCTACTTTTCTTCTCTAGTTCGATAAGCTCGCGAAGCCGCAATTATTTAGTGTTTAAATAATTCTTATTATTTTTTTAAAAAAAAAAAAAAATAACCCGTTAAGTTATCCCAACTATAAAAATTTAATGGTCATAAAATATTTATTTTATTATAAATATAATAAATTCAATAAAAATTAATTCAACCTTAATTATGTAAATAAATTAAATTTTTAATTTTATTGAATTAAATATTATAGACAAAAATTTATTATTATTTACTATAAATTTTATTTAATCAATGAGGAGTTCTTATTAAAAATTATTGGTAAAGTTGTTGTATAATAAATATATTTATTAATTTAAATTTAGTTTGTAATATACAATATTTACATATACGAAATGGTTAAAAAAATAATATATATATATATATAATACAATCATTATATT